TGACGATGATGAAGATAGTGATATAAGTATTAATGATGACTAAAGATTTTAATAAAAATATGTTATTTTTACTTGTGCATTTTTTACTGTTTGTAATGAAAAGGGACGTAATTATCACTCGCCGTAAAACCATGTAGAGTACCGCACTTAATAAAATGGATACATTTACTAACAAATAAAATGTATGTATAGACTCAGATGTTCAGACACGTATTGAAATTGAAAAATGTGCCCGGCCAAAAAGGTTTGTAATCTCTGACATGTCAAAAAATGATAGCTGTCAGAATTCTACGGAATGAAAAATCAGAGTTTAGTATCCATGTAGATTACACAGTTAGTAATAGCATTAAGTGGTTGATTGAAACGTGATATTCTAATATTTAGGCGATTGTTACACGTTGAAATTAAACCATTTTTAACGGGTTTATAAAACATAGCCAATCTTTCTTAGCCATCCGAAATACTGATAACACTATTGGTCACACTGTGTATAGAAAAAAGACCCATACCAACCGATATTTAAATAGTGGATCTCACCATCAAGGACGATAGTTACCGTGGGTAAATTTTTGCTTAGGGAGAACCTCCTATTACCATGGGTATTGTAAAGCACCCGAGACGTCGCGAATTAACAATAAGTAAAAATAATAAACGCTAAAAATGCGTATATATAGTGTTTTATTCAATTTGTAGTGTCCGCGTAAATTTAAGAAATCATTAAATTACATGTACAAATATATATACATTGTTTTACTTTTTATTAAATTTCAAATAAAAATTGATCAATTTATTTAATTATCAAAATCAATTAATCCCGAATTTATCGATCAACGCCCCAACCCTGTCCCATCACTATGCTTCGGTGCATTCTAAGTTCAACCTTGATCCAATCACAGCGCATTTGACACGTCCCCCGTAACTCTTGCATGCCGCCAAATTTGGTGAAATAGAAACAGAACAAAAATTCAATGATGCGGTATCTATTAGGGGGTAATCTGTAAGCTAATCTAACAACATCTTATAGTGACCATATCAATATTAAAAGTGTAGATTTTTGTAACAAATAAAGAATGGGATATTACTCTAAAAGTTTTAAGATGGTGATATTTTATTTACCAATTTTTTTTGCCTTGGTGTAAATCCCATTTTTTATTAAGATGGAGAGAGAGATATAAAAAGATTGTTTTTTTTTTTCTTTTTAAAGGTGTACATTTATTTGCTAAAACTTACTTAAATTAAAGTAATCAACAAAACCAGATTTTTGTCATTAAAATTGATTGTTCATGTATGTTAGTTCTATTCAGAATCAGTAAATGGTTGTTCAATTTATGTATCGTATTTTATTTTGTACTTGTGAGAACCTTTTGCATCCTTTAAAAATTTTATATGTGCGAGAACGAAGATATGGTTTGATATGATCCAATTAACAGCCACTAACTGCCCAAATAATATTTATCGTTTTTTTTTGTCAATATTTGTTAACAAAAATGTTATTTATTTTCTTACTCCATACATTCATCCATTACATTCTAAAAGAACAATGTAAATTTATTTATTTTCCTACTCCATCCATCCATCCATCATATTCTTAAGTCCATTGCTGTACCTAGGTATCCACTATAGATTGCCTCATAGCGCATTTTGCCATAGATACCACGGTTCGCAGGCAGTTTGGCATCCGCACCTTTTTATAATTTTGAGTTTCTACTCCACTTTGTCTTTAATTGATAAATGATCATAACATATTTAATAAATAACATGGGGTTAATCGGCAGAGCCGTGCTAGTTCAAGGGTTAGACACTCCCTAAATTTCAATGTATGCGAGTGACTAGAATTTACGTGCCCCACGGAAATTGTTAATTAAATGCAATAATTTGAGAAACAATTTTCGAAGTTGGCGTATTTGGACTGAGTTTGAACTACGTTTGCAGCTTTAATATACGTGGCTACAGCACAAATGGGCTGGTTCAGCAGTGGTGAGTACACGCTCTCACAGAATACACTCACCATACAGCAGAATAATGCTTCTGTGTTAAGCATGATTAGTGTAGATAACAGAGATCCTTTGGGTCGATTTTCATTTTAGCTGGATTGGACTTTGACTAGAAAATTTGAAGACAGTATTGATGCAGTCACTAAGACAACATACATTCAATACATGACAAAAACAAACAGCATTTCTAAAACAAAATAAATGCGACTTATACAGGTATTTAGGAAAATATAACAATATCAAGTTGAAGAATTAATAAAGGTTTTGTAATAAAAACTAAAAAAATCGTACTTGGATATAAAACCATGGATTTTGGAAAAAGAAAGAAACGTGAATTATCTGCATTGCTTCTAGAAGAAATTCGTAATGGAATATCTATGTAGTCAACTACAAGGGTTCTTCGAAAGATACCAGAAAATTTTATATTTTGTTATCTTGTTAAACCCTAAAAATACAACGTGTGTTAGGTAGTGTAAATGAGTACTATGAAGAAAAAAAACTCATTCTCACTACACACTAACAGATCAGCCACTAGCATGGAGTAGGTACTATAACTAAAAAAAAGGATTTCTCTTGCGGTAGATGTGAAACTTTCGAATTAAAGGAAATCTATTTATAAAAAAAATCAATTGCCGCATACTAGCGGGTCATCACTTGAGGATGGCTGGACCAATTTTGATGAAATTTTTTATGTGTGATTTTGTTGCCAAAATCCAGAAATTACCTATATATCTATAATACTAAGCCGGGGTGGATATAAAATAAAAATATTTCAAGGCAAATTATTTATTTCATATGATAATTTTAAACCACATGTGCGGCGTAAAATATAATATCCAAATCACAGCAATGCTAAAGTAGTTTTCACTTCAAAAAGATACCTGCTTAACCGAAGCTAACGGTACACAAGTCAGAATAGTAAAAAAATCGTAGGGGTCGTTACTAGCTCAAAAATAAAACCCCATCCTGGCTTTGGATAGTAACTTAATAGCTCAGAAATGAAGAATGAAGCCAGAGTAAATATAGTATGTGCCAAATCGATTGAGAAAAACGGAGAATGACCTTTTGGTTGTTTAACCAGGGGTTACAAACGGGTTTCTCTCGTTTCTTTATTCGTTTCTCGTTTCTTTATTCATAATGATTTTTTTTATTTTTTATAATGATTGATATATTATATAATATTTAATAACTACTATTAAAAAGTTATATAAAAGATCGCTGTAGAAGAAAAAAAATATAAATATAATGATAATATGAAACTGTTATTAAATGAATTGCTGCGTTACTTACCATAAATTGAAATATAAAATATAACACATTTTTCGCGATGTACCGTAAGATTTTACGATGTTTATAGGAACCACAGACAATATTATTTAAGAAACAAAAAATCAAAACATATGCGCTGACCTAGAAGTGTGAATAATATCAATATTTAAATATTGTTATCACATCTAAATTAAGATTTTGTAAGTTACGCCTTTTGACACTCGGCTCATATCTGAGGTCATTGGCCGTTTTTCTCAATCGATTTCGCACATACTATAGCTTGCTAACTTACAAGCACAAGTTGCTATCCGTGCATCACGTATCATAATCGTCTTCAAACTATTATTTAACCGATAAAACAGGAGCAACAATCTGCTGGTGGTTAAATTGTTGCCAAAATCCTCTAACCTCGTTAATCGTTAGAGAAAATATAATTTTGCATACTAAAAATAAGTAAAAATACATATTATAGGTATTAAAAGTTGATTGTCTTCACATCACAAAAAAAAATTTAGCATCCATAGCGTCCGTCATTTATTGTCCGAATTTGACACGACTTTTTTGTAGGCTTGCCATCTCCTATATTTTATATGCTTGAAGGTTTCGAATTATGGAGTGTAGAAGTAAGGAGTACCAACTCCCATAGAGTTTTATAGAATCTGTACTCCTTACCCCTACACTCCATATTTTGGATTAAAGTAGTTCAAAACGACTATATATCAATAGCACGCTACATACTATAAACTAGAAATTTCCAGCGCGCTATTAAATAAGCTATGTTATAGCACGCTATTTATAAAAAAGTGTGTAGGAGGCCGGCAAGCGGGTTAAGTTTAACAACACGCTATATCTCGGAGCACGCTACATTACATGTCGTTCATTGGATAGACTGCGTGCCATATATATAAGAACATTGTTTAGTAATAAGTCGTATTTTAGATTAAAATAAAATAAAGTGGTAAAGAAAAATTAAAGATTTTCATACTTTTCAGGCCTACGACTTTTTATAATCCTCAAAATATTTTTAAGGACTTTACTTTTTAAAACAAAATAAAATAAATCATTTTTTATTATAATTGATGTAAACGTTATTTTAACCTTAAAATAAATTATAAATCAAAGGTGTATTTAAAAGTGTATTGATTGTATATACAAAAATCAACTATTTACAAACACTATTATATACACTTTTGTATCTATATTTTATTTACATTTAAAAACATTAGTTAGGCTTCTTTTGTAGCAGACAACTATGTACTTCGATCACTTATAAATATACAGTATACACTAACTAAATAACGTCTAACACTAAATTAGTTCGCGCGTCTTGAATAGCGTGCTGCTAGATTAAATTTGCGTCACACGTCTACTCCCAACAGTGCTGCTGCTGGAACTTATTGCCGCTTGGCTTGATATGAATAGCGCCAAAGCGTCATAGGGTCATAGCGCCATGGCGACTACTTACATAGCACGCGCTATGCGTTATGAAGAGATAGCGCGCTATAATATGGCGCTATGCGCTATATTAACCACCATTATTTCGGATGTTCGGATGCTGGCAGCACAGCTGATAAATGTCAGTGTGACATCAATTTGACTTGATTAAAGCTGTTGAATGGATTTTTGCTCCCACCTGAACCTATATTATCCCGTTATTAAAAATTTATTTATTTCTAGAACTTTATATTAATAACTATTAAGATTTCCACAAAGTTTTTGTAACTGATCGTATCAAAAATGTCTCATCAGACTGGTATTCAAGGTAGGTCTTATGAAAAACTTTATCTTTATTGTTTTACCGTTAATCTTTATTATTAGAATGGAGTTAGGTATCGTCTATGAGAGTATGTACAAAAACTTTGTGTTGTACAGAATGAAAAATGCTTCATTTTTTGTTCATTTCAAAATAAAATTATTATCTAGATTAAAATATACCAGTTCGATTTTTCCGCTACTGTTTTATTTTCCTGTCAAACAGTTAAATAATTCAATATCTTAATAATATTTGTAATTCACTATTAATATTATGTAAAGATGCAAACTACTTAACAACAAACAACATGTCGAAGTTACAATAAAATATAAGGTGTGTTAGAGTAAGATTGGTGATGGGGCAAGACCACAGAATACTTTACTCCTAGCGGGCAAGACTGTAAGATATAATTTATAAATGTATATGTACATATTTAAATGCTAGCAATATGGTACATGACACCATTTCATTCTCCCAAAACCCCAAGTTCCAGCTGGTAACTCTGTGAGTAGGCTATGCTGCATGGCATTTTATAAAACAAGGTAATTTTGGTATATTTTGTGCCCATCTGATCATTCCCTATCACTTTTATTTGCGATTTTTAGCACAAATATTGCTTCTTTTGTTATTGTGTTGTCTGAATATTTGGTTTTATAAAGTTATAGCCAGATAAAACTGATCCTAACAGGTCTAAAATTGCTGTAGACTGAGATCAGATGTTTCCCCATGCAAGTGAAGATCAGATGAATTTTATCAGATCTTTACCCGTTACAAATATAGTAGTGGGTGTCAAACTTTCATTTCTTTCGAAGATTGCTCATGTGACTATGGGGCTCAGTATCACCATCAAATCTATTGTGCCTTAATGTACCTTATTGAGCTTAATTTTTAGGATTGTCTTATTACTTTAAATACATATTAAAAACATAATTCTTCACATTCTGCAGCAATATGGTGATGAATAACCTCTACAATTAGAATATTCGAAACTGTTAATATGCTGTTAACTTATGTTTTACTGAAATATTTCACTTTGCTTAGGGTTATCACCATAGCTATTCATTAACAAAATTGCTTTTAACAACTGATAATAACAAAACTTATTTAGAACTAATCTTCACAATGTCACAATCACCACTTGCTTCGCCATATGCTGCTTCTCTAAAATAATTACATATTCCTCTACTCCTGTATTTCCCCAGGGCATTCTATCAGACCTTACTGTTTCATTTTATTTAAAAATCTAGATTTTTTAATATAGAATTTCCTTTCCAAAAAATCAGATGCATCCAATATTTTCCTTGTATTGAGTAATTCCATCTTATATCATAACAAAGTTTGAGAACCACATAATAATAATTTCTTTATATCAGCGATAAGGTTGGATGCCACTAAACAAAAAAACAGAAAATCATTTGAAACATTTATATCTGTAGTAATTTACAGATCTTATTTAAATATGTTTTTGAGTGGTAAAGATAAGATAAATCCCTTTCATGAAATTTATTGTCTAAGCAGTAATAGTGGCTTTAAATTTACGTGTGGTCTTACCCCTTGATGGCTAATTATTCATTATGCATATAAAAAATTATGTCTTGTATATATATTGTGTATATAACAAAAAATGTGTGCGAACACACACATTTTTTGTTTTATAGAATTGGGTGACAAACGAGCGCACAGTCCAGGTGATGTTAAGTGGGTGCTATGCATATATAATAAATACATACATAAACACTCACGCCTGTCACCCAGAGGGGTAGGCAGAGACTACAGACTTCCATTTGGCACGATCCTGACACACCTCTCTTGCCTCCTTCACATCCATACACCTACGCATACATGATCGTCGGTTAAGGGTACTCTTAATTTGGCCCGTTTTCAATAAATCGCCAATTTAGTCGATAAATTTTCGCCTAGGACGTCCCTTTCCGACTCTGCCATTCACTTCTGCACCATACATTTTCTTTGTCACTCTTTCTTCATTCTTTCCACATGACCAAATCACCGAAGCATTCCTTTCTTAATCCTTGTCACATCATCATCTTGCAAACCACTCTCTTCTCTTTTTACACAATTTCATACCCTGTCATTCAGATTCAGCCCTAACATACTCCTTAACGACTGCATTTCTACTGCGTTTATTCTACTCTCGTGCTTCTTCTGCCATACCCAACTTTCACTACCATACGTTAAAGTAGGGACCAACACAGCATTGTGAATTGCCATACGTGCCTTTTTCGACACATTTTGACTCTACACAATAGAGTGCAAGGCCCCATTTACTCTATTTCCCGCATTCACTTGTCGTTCTATATCCTTATCATATCTCCCATCCCTGCTAAATACGCAGCCCAAATATACAAACTCATCTACTTGCTCGATCAACTCCCCTTCTATTCTTATTTCACAAATCGTTTTACTTTCTTCTCTTTCAAAAACCATAACCTTTGTCTTACTTGCGTTCACTTTCATACCCCTTTCTTTTAATGATCCGTTCATTAATGTAACCATCATTTGCAACTCGGCCGCCGACGACGCAAGAATAACTTGATCATCGGCGTACAAAAGGCATTTGACGGTTAACTCACCCATTCTTAATCCGCATTCTTCAACTTTCAAATTTTGCAAACAACTAGCCATAAATAAGTTGAACAGCCACGGGGAAGCCACACAGCCCTGTCTGACACCTTTATGGATGTCAAACCAGTCCGAGTAGACCCCGTTGATCCTAACACAAGCACTAGAGTCCCTACAAAAAGACTCCAATGCCTGTATCAAGCCAGCGCTCAACCCAAATGAGTTCAGTGTTTGCCATAGCAAATCCCTATCCACTCTGTCATAGGCCTTTTCCAAGTCCATGAACGCACAAAAAACCTTTTGGTTTTTGGCCAGAAACTTCTCTGCGATCATACGCATGGAAAAGACTTGATCTGTACATCCCATTCCCTTTCTAAATCCCGCTTGCACTTCCCAAATTTTTCCATTAGTTTCTTTCATGACCCTTTCAATCAGTACCTTAGCATACAGTTTTCCCACAATGCTAAGAAGGCTGATGCCATGGTAGTTTTTACAGTCCTGCTGCGACCCTCTTCCTTTATATACTGGGACTATCACGGCTTTGCACCAGTCTACCGGTACCCACTTCAGTTCCCAGCATAAATTAAACAAGGTGTGCAGCAGGCCTGCCACCACTTCCTCTCCAGCCCTTAGCATTTCGAGTGAAACTCTATCGTATATATATATAGGCTGCCTTACCTGCTTTCATGCTTTTCATTGCTTTCATTATTTCATCTATACTTATCTCGCTACCTCTTTCCTCTTCTTTCGGTGTTTCTACTTCACTTAGTACACACGTTATCTCCTCACTCATAAACACGCTTTCAAAATATTCCTTCCATCTCTTTAAACTCAAAACTTCATCATTCAGAATATAGCCATTCTCATCTCTTATAGCATTCATTATAAGCTGTTTTGAATGTCCCCTGGCAGTTCTTACAAGTTTCCAGAACATTTTAATATTTCCCTTCTTATCCGTTCTTTCTTGCTTTTTTCTTTCAACTACTTCTTTTACTCTCTTATTAAGATGTCTAAAGACTGCCTTTTTTATTTCAATATCACCATTCGTACCACTAGAATTAGCAGCTTTTGTTGCTAGTAAATCTAGCCATGCATGCTCTCTCCTTTGCTTCAAATTCCATACGTATCTCATCATCCCACCATAACGTATTATTATTCCTTTCATTCTTTCTCTTACTAACACCACATACTTCGGTAGCTGCATCCACTAAACTTTTCTTTACAAAAGTGGATGCATACTATGGTCCCTAGACATCTACATTTATCCTCGATTAAGTATCAAAATGCAGATACATTGTCACCCATGAGGACTAAGATGGAATGCCTCGTTTCCAGTAATATGGGTCTCCAGTTCTCTACACCAATAACAATTTGCGCTATATTCCAGAAATCTGATATATATGGATGTCGAGGAAATAGAGTTTTTACCAGACTCTTTTAACTAGTCGCAAATCCATCCAGTATTACTCCAATACACCTTAGAAATTATTTGTTGAATATATTATTTGTATTTTTAAATTGTCACTGAAAGTACTCTTAAGTTATTAGTAGAGCTCAGATTTAAAAAAAAAACTTACTTTTGTGACATCTTGTAATAGTGTAGTCATGATACAGATAGCTGATGAAATATGTTCATTGTGTTCAATTTGTATTTATTCCCTATTAATTTTATTAAATTTAGGCATAAACTTTAACACACTACTTTATTTTTTGCTATAATTACCTCACATTTACAATTTTTTTTATGTACATTATTTTTCAATTTTTTTTAGTTCTGATTTAATTTTTTCTTTTATTATAAATTAAAAGAAACTTTAAATTCTATTTCCAGCTAATGCAGAATTAAAGAAATACTTCACTAAGTGCAGGGATGGCAAAATTCGTGTTCTGAAAGTCAGCATTGACAATGGTACATATAATATTTTTAGCAGTCAATAAAAAAAAATTATTACTTATTTATGTTTCTTGAATTATGTTTTTATTTCAGAACAGCTGACACTATCCAAATACCAGCAGGTGAAAGGTTCTTGGGAGCATGACTTTGATAAATATGTACCCCCTTTAGTTGTAGATGATCTTCCTTGCTACATTTTATACAGGTAACACTATATAATTTTTCAATTTTTAAGGTGGTAGAACCACAATGTTTTTACTACACTGAATGGGTGGCCTCAACTGGGAAAGACCTTTTTGCTGGTAACAAGGTATTCCATTTTCCCACAATAGCTTTTAACAAAATTATCTGATTGAAAAAGGGCGTAGTTGATATACTGATATCTATAATAAATAAACTGTGAATATAAATATATATAATTTCAAACATACAAACTTTTAAAACCTGATATAATTTTATAATTTTGAATCATAAACATGCACTCTGTGGCAAGTCGACTAACATTTCATGGTGTTATCATCTGTGTCGCATCTACTACTTCATATTTTACACTCGCACAAATATTGTATCTGGTAAAATGTCATTAATTCGCACATTGTGCAATGTTATATTCAATTCAAAAATGTGCAGCAGGTAGTGAATCTTGATTCTTTGTCAAATGTGTGTTAATCTTAGTGGTTGTAGTGTGGCATAACCTGTGTGTTTATACATAATTCTAGCAAAGTCACATTATGTTACATCCATAAACTATTGGAAGCTACTAACTATGTAATGGTATTGTGGCAGCGTAAGAGGCATTTCTCACTCCTAAAACATTTAGCAAGATCTACCGAACGTACTTAAGACCTCTTTTGGAGCTTGCATATGTTATATGGGACCCGTATTTTCGTAAAGATATAATACTACTGGAAAATGTTCAAAGAAAGTCCACAAAAATGGTAAAACAACTGCGAAACATGACATATGAGCAGCGAATGAATAAGCTTAACCTCACAACACTAGAGTGCCGTAGACAGAGAGGTAGTCTGATTGAAACATGCAAAATACTGATAGGATATCACAATAATGATTTTTTAAATTTACGCGAACACTACACATTGAATAAAACTAAATTTACGGATTTTAACGCGTTTAATTAATTACTTTTACATATTTTTTAATTCCCGACGTTTCGGGTGCTCTACAGTACCCACGGTCACCGCGGGTCTGAGATATTTGACGTCCCAATGTTATTGTTAGCCTGGCTACCTTCAGTTTTTGAATATTAATTTTTGGTCCGATTTACGCAAAACAAGCTTAGAGTATCTTGAAGTCTTGCAGTGGTATGCTTAGGTTTGGGTTTAATTTTGTTAATTATAGGATCCCAAGCAGATGGCAGCACCCAACCGTCTTCTCTATTGAAATTAGGATGTTTTTTAATTTCAATAGCTCGTATCATCCTTTAAGGATGATATTTAATTTCAATAGAGAAGATGGCTGGGTGCTGCCATCTGCTTGGGATCCTATAATTAACAAAATAGCTAGTGTGTTTATGTATAAATAATAATAATATAATAATAATAATAAATTTCATGAGTTGGGTGACATAGCAGCAGCGTCAAAAGTGCGAGATGTTCTGGTGATACTGTGATTGTCAAATCACCTACGAAGAGTGACAATAAAGGCAAATCGTCCCTATAATAGGAGAGGCACATGGCCAGCCGTAGACTTTTATGGGCTGGTAAAGAAGAAAAAATGTAAACTGTAATAAATATAAATTTATGCACATTATGAAAGATTAACAAGTCTGACCAGTACAATCAAAAAGTAATCATTTTTACTAATTCGGGAACAACAAATATGTTTACACATTATTAACTTTTTACTGTTCTAAGCTAGCGCTTGACTACTATCTCACCTTATGTGATAAGTGGTGATAAAGGGGAAAGGAAAAGTGCATTCTCTTAAAAAAAGCCTATTCACTCTTGCCTTGAAGACATTTATTGTAATCGGATGAATAGACTGATGCTGGTAACTTATTAAATAAATAGTATTAAAATTTCAGGTTTGATTCAACAAATTCCGTCGGTCATGAGTGGTTGCTCCTTAGCTGGTCTCCAGACAGTGCTCCAGTCAGACAAAAGATGTTGTATGCATCAACGAAGGCCACACTAAAACAAGAGTTTGGAACAGCTCATATAAAAGATGAAATGCATGCCACCAGCAAGGTAATTGTCACGAACTACTCCTACACAAGTAGTCAATAGAATGTAATGTATTAATAGTTTTAACAGCACTGTATTCTTCTTTTTGTATTCTTTTTTAATAATCGATTTTAATACTATCATAATAATAATTGTTTCTGTATTATTAAAAAGATGTATAGAATAATATACCAACAGTACTGTTCAATCCACGCAATGGTGAACTAAAATCTAGTATCATGATGGATAACACCCATAGTAGTGCAATGATTTCGGTTTCTCATTCACCGACAACCAGACTGTTGCCAGAAACCAGACAAACAGTACTATATATATATATGCAGAATAAGCAAGTAGAATAAACGCAGTAGAAATGCGGCTGTTAATGAGTATGTTAGGGTTGAATCTAAGTGACAGGGTGAGAAATTGCGTGATAAAAGAAGAGTGTAGTTTGCAAGATGATATTGTGACCAAGATTAAGAAAGGAATGCTTCGGTGGTTTGATATAAATAAATAAGATTTTTAAAGGAAATGTATTCAAAAAATATATTATTCTGTAATAACAGGATGAAGTCTGCCTTAAAGGATACAAAGCACATTTGAGTGGTGTAAATGCACCAGCACCACTCACTGATAGGGAAGAAGCCTTGAAAGAACTCCAACACAATGACCATAACCCTAATTATGGCACAGATTCAAGGTAAGTACCTATAACCTATTTAAAGTAACCTCATTAAATAATTAATGATCTAATAAGACCACATTCATATGGATGAACCTTATCAGGACCACAACATATAACTTGGTTACTAATGCTGTTTTTATAAAAGCGAGAAATGATCTTACAGTCCACCGGATGGTGATGGACACCTGTAACCAACTTCAAACAAAGATTCTTTGTCTCTAGGAATAGTAATAAAACTCTGGAACCTCATACTAACTAATTAGAAAAACAAGAAAGTTTGAATGCAATCCACCACATAAAGAAGAGATGCTCCTGCAATTAGCAATACAAGGCTGCTATTCTTGAACCTTTATTTACCAATGACTATCGCGCTAAATGGTTGGCTTATTGCCACTTTGGTTTACTCATTCACTAGAGCATGTGGATATGAATTTTAACACAAAAGAAACTTCAGCTATAACCCTGTCAATGCTTCACTAAGCAAATTTTTATTAAAATACAATTACGAAAAGATTTACCATGTCCAAAATTTTCCAACCATCCCACTAATCTATTGAAATACTGAAGTAGCAATTGGTCGAATGAACAAATTGTTAAATGACCTGGCTAGAAATGAGTCTCGGCACGGTTTGGTTTTTACATATATATTAATTTAGAAATAAATTTGTTAAATTGCCTAACCATATTACTTACAGACAGTCAACAATGGGTGGAGTTGCATTCCCTATCACAGAAGCAGCAAAACAAGGCATTATTGATCTTCAACGTGGTTCCTACAATTATTTACAATTTAAAATAGGTAAATATATATTTTTTAAATGAAATATCACCTAATGTTTGCACTCATGAGTTACGTGCATGATATAGGACAAAGCGCATCATACAAAATAATTAAGTCATCACATATTGGCACCACTCTTGTCTTAACGAGTAAAATTGATATTTTAATTCAAAATTTATTTCATTCATTCGGAACAATTTCATTTTTCTGTAGTATAAATAGTAAGTAATATTGTATTGAACGGCCATTTTAACTTAAAAGATATACTCGTTTTCATTAGCCCATAATATCAACTGCTCGGTATGGGCCACCCCATGTATAAGATACCAGATGTTTCGCATCTTTGACGCTGTTTCCTTTCGCGGGTTTGAGTATTTTTCATTTGGCAAAAACGAGATGATCATACCGCTATCCACCGTATATGAGAAGTCATAGAT